ATATATCGAGGATACGAGCTGAAAGAGTGCTTTTAAAATTCCCACACGATTCAAAGAACGTAGTCTTGGCAAATGGAAACGTACTCTTCGACAGTTTTGAAAAGAAACTCCGTTGTACTTTGTGTCTCCTTCAGACCTCTGCCTACGACATGCTGGCAATTACCACTCTTCTGTACAAGAGTTACGGCCGGCAGTTATCGTTTGTTGGCACAGTGGACCAGGCCTGGAATCTGCAGCTCACATCAGACGTCTTCCCGAACGTCAAGTTTGGTTTCAACGGCAGACGCTTCATTGTCACTACGAACATGGTTTGTTTGCACTTGTTTTTGTTTTTTGGTAGTATCTCATAAGGTTAATCATTAAAAAAAAAAAATCATTTCATTTCTTTTTCTTTTTCTAGTTGGTCGGTTTTTGTATTGTTCTAAATGTTTTGTTGTTCATTTGTCTCTTTGTTGTCACTTTGTGTTTAGTTTAGTTGGTTTTTCTTTCTGTTTTTTTTTCTTTCCTTCTTTCTTTCTGTCTTCTTTCTTTTTTTCCAAGGGGGTGGGGATGGGTTATCATTCTCTGATTGGTTGTATTAGATGTTTTATAGGGGTTCATTTCGTTTCTTTAAGGTATGGTAATTGTCTTCTTTTTTTTTCGCTGTTACATTCTCAGTATCTGTATGCTGTTTATGCCCAGTCTTTGACAGCTCTTGGGTTGCATGACCGATATTAATGGTGTGTTTCTCAGATCAATTCATTTATCTCGTGTTTTGCTGGTGTTCAAGATATTATTACCTCGCAGTTTGTGCATCAGTCAAGCCAGAGAATGACAAAACTCATAAATCTAGACCTTTCTATCTGCTCCCCCCCCCCCAATCCGACGCGGATAATAGTACCAGAGACGGAGCAAAGTAAAGTCTCTGATGTTACTAGAGTGTGAACCTAACAAAACTATTTTCAAAAAGTTGTGTTGCTTCTATTTCTAAAGTTCGCACTAAACCTGATTTAGCTGTTTTGTACAAAAAGTGGAAGGAAACTTTTGCCTTTTCTCCACTCTGTCTTAAGAGAAAAATTTTTTCGAACTATGCGATGTACTCAATAATATTATTAGGCATCATCTATTGAAAAAAGAAGATGTTGATACTTTTTAAAAGCTGCATGCTACTGGAGCTTGGCACATTAATGTGGGTACTGTATGTCTCTTCATTCGGTGGAATCGATTTTTGTTGTTGTTGCGTTTTTCATCGGGTGAAAAATTAATGACTGCTGTCATAAAAGTAATTCTGTAAATAATTGAATGCCACGCGTACTAGCTGAATCGTATTGGAATGTGAGAGACTTACCGTAGATGATTTGCTGTGCCATAGCAATTTTAGTTTAGTTAAGTAAGTTTTTTGTTGTTGTTTTTTTTTACAGCACATGCAGCACGAACACGTCAAAATAACTTCCGAATATAAGAGGGTTTTTTGTTTTTTTAATGAGCAACATACAAATAAAAGAAAGAGAAGAGATAACAACAAAAACAGATGTTTGATAGGAAAGAAGGAGCAAACAACATTATAGCACCCACTTACTGTGACGTCGGTGGTCTATATTATTATAGTCGTTAGGCTCTCGGATTCGCAACCGTAAGATTGTGCGTTCGAATCCAGACAGTGACCCGACGTTAGGTCCCTGGAAAACGCACTATTATTATGATTATGATTATGATTATGATTATGATTATGATTATGATTATGATTATGATTATGATTAT